TAGTTAAATCAAGTCATCCGAAGTTTATAGGCTCAAGCAAAAATTATAAGAAACTTTAAAAACTGTAACTTTAATTTATTTTTAAATTTAATCATTATAAACATATGCAAGAAGTCTTATGTTGCTACCCTCTTTATTACCTGTACTGTGTTCTCTTCAGAATTGTCCAAGCAAATCGGAGCCGAGAAGGCGCAAACAGTAGAGAGCTGAGTGTGGCTAATGGAGAGTACCTGGAGTTGCTGGACGACAGTCGAAATTGGCACGAAGTTCGCAACAGCCAAGGCAAAGCTGGGTATTGTCCCTACACCATTCTAAACACGGTTGAAGTGGCGCTGAACTCTTCACCAGGGGATACAAGAAACATGTCTTACGAGATGCACGGCAGAGAAAGGGGTTTTTAATAGTTGATCCTTAAAAGAGATTCAGATGTGTAAGTCTATAGCCACTTAAATGGTCTAATGTCCGATATATCGTGGAGTAAATTAATTACTATTGCTTTCATCCACAACTGTCCCTAATTGGGTCAAGCCGAGAGCGTGAATGGCTGAACATTTGCACAAACCCTCGGCGAATGAACCAAATTTTACTCCGCATATTTAAGGAATATAATTTTAGCGTAGATATGGAGACCAAGATGGTATGGCCTTCTGTCTGGTCGCAGTCTATTTTAGCTCTATAATGTCGGTTCGACCTCGATTTTATTACTTATTCGGAGCGTCAGAGAGACTTTGTGGAACGTACCTAGTCCTGTGCCATCTGCCATAATATTCGTGATTTCCCGCATCGGACCATTGACTTGGTGCATTCCCAGCATCGTCAGCAAGAGGCGTTAGCGTTAGCACAGCGTTACAACTTATCAAGCAACAAGTGAAGGCAATTCCCTTGACCACTATTCTGTTCAGCCGTTGTGGTATCAATCCTTTCCTCTATTTTTGTTCTACCTTCCAGTACTGCATCTCTTTAACTCCCTAACGCTCCAACCAAGTTACGAAAACGAGATCGAACCAACGATATAATTTTATGATCTCAAGACAAATATTTGTGCCAGATTCTCATCCAAATCCTTTTAAACAAATCTGTTCATCTTCATCTACTTTGAGAGCTAGCTCTCCCAATTATATATAAATTCATTAAATTATTTTTAGGTATAAGCTTGGTTTACTCCCATAAGTTGGCATGTACCTGTTTTTTCGCTGATGCAGTTTAATTACGTCACTCTTAGCTAATTTAAGTTGGGCATAATTTGAGTTTTTCATTGGTATTCTCGTCTCAGATGAAAATTTAATGAAAATGGATATTTGGATGGCCCGTTTTTAAGCATGACTTAGCATTTTTCGATTTTTGTATCCATAGTTGATTTCGGTCCTTCACATTCGCCTTTGGGGAACCGATGAATACCAGAAAAGTTATCTTTCCTTTTTTGATAATCAGTAAAAGCGAAAGAGACTTTTTTCAATTAAGTGTTAGAATAATATTTCTTAATTAATAACCTTATGCTGTTTAAGTTTAAAAAAGGCCTGTTAATTGAGCTTTCTA